AAAGTACGATGGCGGTGGCATCGTTCAATATACTCTCACCGAAAATGATCGAATACAATTGTGGATCAACCTTCAGTGTTTGAAATATTGTAAGTACAGTCACAGGATCAGTTGCTGAAAGAACTGAACCAAAAATCATAGAGTCAAGTAGGGTAAGGGACAGAGAATCTATTCCAGTCCAGGCCAATATCGCCGTCAAAATGCTATAAAGTTTTAATAAAAGATATTTTAGCGAAGGAGCCCGTATCGGAAAAGAATACAGTCAACTATGGATATAACGGATTGTAAATTTAAAATCTTATTATAAATACATTATATGTTATTAGAATATGGAAAAAAAAATACATATATAATCATATAACGGATTTTTCAAAAATAATTTATTAATGGATCCAAAATTCCATTAGATTCATAGCTGACTGATATATTTAATAACTTAAATAATAAATACCCGATTACAATCGCAGAGATAAAAGTACCTAGAAGTGCAAAGGATAGGATGGCCCCCAGATTTTTGAAAAATTTCTCCTAATAAATTAAATCAGTAAATACATTTGGCCTTTTAAATACTTGCAATTTAATCAAGATTACCTTTTTCATTTCATACCCTGAATTTAAAATAATCGGAGGTAACAGAAGATTAAAAAAGTAAGAATATTTAAAGGAGACCATCTTTTGGATTATGTAGCCGGGAGAAAGTCGAATAATCAATCCAACAAACATTCCTGTAAATTTATAAATTATTAAGATTAATGATAAATTAAGACTATACCCTATTAAAATTATTCATACCGGCAAATATTGATATAACCGTCTCATGAATAGAACGAATTTGTTTTATTTGTAAATAGTAACTTGTCCATAATGCAAGAATTAATAAAACAGTTTGGATCAATAAAGCCCAACTGGAATAAAGCTCTTCTTCTTCAACCGCGGCTCCAGTTAGTGAAGACATAATGACAATAGCTTTGAGTTTGAAATATAGAATTCGTCAATTATTTATGCCACAAGAACTAAATTCACGTGTTATTAGTGTAGCGCCGTACAGAGAGTCTTGAAGAATTACACAAGAATTATGGAACGTACAAATGACTACAACCTAAAGAGATACTTCACGCTTAATTATGCAGACTTTAACTTACTTTAATAAATAAATATCCGTAAAAAACTTAGCACTTTACCTTTACGTAAATAAATATGTCAAAAGGAATTCACCAACGTTTCAACGTTGAAATTATGGTAAAGGTGTACTGTATGTAATGCAATGTATTATTTTGCTGAAAGTGGCTTTTCTTTTTCTTCCCTTGAAATAAATTCATTTTATTCCATGCTTCATCACGGGGATGCATGGCTATGCGCATTAAAGTACAGGTTTAACTAAGAATAGGATGCTTCAAACATTGTGGACGTGTAAGGGGTAACTACCCGATCCAAGAGGTGCCCGGTACACCCAAAATTTTGAGGTTGTTATTTGTCTAAATTTGCACATTCGTATAATAATGTATTACCCAAATTTCATCATTACGGTAAATTTATTTAATGCTAACGCTAAGCCAAATGGTATGCCCAAATATACCAGATACCCTAGTTATAAGCCGAATAGGGTCTAACACTAATACTATTGAATTTCTTATTTCTATTGGATGGAATCATTTTTAAAATGTGATGTCTTAGCTAGAGTTTTAGTTATATACCAAAATTTTACGAGAAATTTTTTTGCTACAGTACACGACACTTCAAGACTACACTAACTTCAAGAGCTAATAAATCTTGATCTAAAAAAGATATTAAAAAAAAAGAAGCCACTAATTTTTAGTTCTAAAAAAGATATTAAAAAAAGAAAGCCACTAATTTTAGTTAAATCAACTTGGCGGCTTTATGTTTTAAAAAATATAGTATTTTTATATAATCGCATATAAAAAAAAATTGTGTTCACCATTATTAATATTTAAAAAAAAATTGTGTTCCAAATTATAACGTCATCACAAGAAATTTTCGCAATTTATACACGAATGTGTGCCAGGTTGTTGGCGCATTAATCAGCCCAAGTAATTTGTACCAATTAAAAATTATGATAACTTCTAAATTTGAATAGAATGAAAATACCATTTTTTAATAACGTTATTTCTACTCGAATTGTGTTTTTTTATTTTCAAAAAGGTATATTTCCCTTCATCTCTTCATAACTTTTAATTTCTAATATTATTATTGTTTTGAATTCAAATACTCGTATTCATTTACATTTATAATCTTTATAAATTATAATTTTTAAAATTTTTACGGGCTAAAATAATGACAACTCGTGATAACTCGTTAAAATTCTTTTAATATAATAAGCGTGTAAGAAAATATTGACTTTAAAAGTATGGTAATAAATCTCCAACAAACACAAATATGTTATATAAATAAACATGTATTATACAGTTTATAAAATAATTCTTTCAACGAAAAAAACTTATAATCAGGGATACCGAAAAATTAATTGCAATATTAAATTATGCAATTTTAATTAATTAAAATTGTTAAACAATTGCAATACAATTAAATTGCGAATAATTGCAATTAATTGCAATTTTTGCTTTTACCTAGCAATGGGAATTTCTAGTTATTAATTATGAAATATTAACGATTAAAAATTAAAATTTAATAACAATAATTTCTAAGCAATTAATAAATGAATTATCCAATCTGTATAGAACATCTTTATAGATATTGATCTAATCGATGGTTTTTGCAGATTTTTTTATAAAATCATTGATCATATCAATTAAAAGCTATAGTGGAAGATTTATTGCTGATATATTTTTACAGAAACTTGATTAATTTCTTATCACTATTATATTAGAGTAAATAAAAATATTAGAAAATCTCTTATCGCTGTTTGCAAATTGACGTGACTTGATAAAATTTGTAAATCGCTGCAGCATGGCTATTGATTGTACATGATTGTAGTGATTGTATGTGATTTTTTTTAGCAACCATCTGATAAATTTCGATAATTTTTTTTATTTGAATTTTATGAATCTATAGAATTCAAATAAAATAAATTCATCGAATTTGATCAGGTATTTGCTGAGATATCATCGCTCAAAGTTTTTTTTTTTAAAAATGTCAAGATGTTTATCAAAAATAAAAGCTGTGCAAATTTTTTTAAAACTTTGATCAAGATATTATAAAAACTACCTAATCAAATTCAATAAAATTTTTTTATTTGAATTCTATTAATCCATAAAATTAAAATAAAAAAAATATTTCATCAAATTTGATCAGGTGGTTGCTGAAATATCTTTATTCAAAGTTTAAAAAAAAACTGAAGGTTGATCCACAATTGTATTCGATCATTTTCGGTGAGAGTATATTGAACGATGCCACCGCCATCGTACTTT